CCGCTTCTGAACGGCTTCTTGGCGGATATTGGGAGCGCTTGGTGGGGGAAGGATCCCTCGGGAGCTGCCCGGTTGCTTCTTCGGCATCGCTGCCCGATGCAAGGCGCAGGGTGAGCTGGACCCCCAGCTTAGCAGAAGGGGCCGTTCTGGGCTCGCATGATCCTCTCACAGCCATGGTCCGTATGGAGTGCAGGAGCCCGGTGTGGGGAGCAGGGCTTTTCTCTTCTGTGTTAGTCGTCTGCTGGCCCTGAAGTGAGCGTCCTGGCCCGTAAAAGGGGCTGCAGGGCGTGGGACGGACAGCCGGGGCGTTAGGTCAAAGCAGTGAGGAGATGGCTGCTGGTGTCGGGCACTGTGAGGAGTTCACCTGGAGCCTCTCCCGGCCTCGCATTCAGGGTTATTTGGCATGTGGGAATACAGAGGAAGGTGTTTTGTCCCATTTGAAAACAGTTACGGCTCTGTGTGCCGGCGTTTGTAGGAGACTCCTGGGAGCAGAGCGCGTGGTTTGCTTGCTGCACAAGGCTGGATGTGCTCCCCGTGCCTTCACTTCTCTCTCTGCGCTGTGCTTCCAGGGCCCCTTCTCTCTGCTCGAGCATGAAGAGCACCCGCAGCAGCTCCTCCTTCCAGGGCACCGGTTCTGGCGGCGTGGATCTGAGCCTGACGGGCCTCCCTGCGCCGGTCTCGCGGCGCCCCAGCAGCGCCTCTCCCGCCAAGCACATGGCGCGCTCCGTCTCGGTCACCGCCGACGGCAAACCGAAGAGGAACGCTCTGGTGAGTCCTGGGCAGGAGAAGTCCTTCATCCCCACATCCCTCCTGCTGCTCGGGGCAGGGAGGTGCGTGTGCACGGGCTGCGGGATGCCTCGACGCACGCCCGCTCTCCCGGCTTCTTAATGCTGGGCTGTGCTGGTCCTGCAAGGCCAAGCTTGAAGCACAGCCTGGAGCGGAAGGTGGCACTGGGGGGGGCCTCGGCTCCCCCCAGGAGCATCTGGCAGTGTGGCATGGCTGCGTGTTTATGGAGAGCAGCCGCACCGCCTTCGGGAGGGGAGAATTGGGCTGGTCCAGGTGCTAGCTGGAGCTGCAGCTCTGGGTGCGGCAGTGCTGCGTGCTCTCTCCAAATCTGATCATCCTCAGCGATCGGCTGCTGGTCAGGTCTCTTCTTGACCCTTTAACGTCCACAGAAGGGCAAACAAGAAAGCATCAGGCTTCAGCCTTTTCCCTTCCTTGCCCTTCACCTCCCTAAGCAGATTTTCTTCTGGAAACTCCCCAGTTCTGGTATCTTCTGCCGGATGCTGCGGCGCTTTCGTGCCCAGCCTGTGCCTTGCCGAGCACCCTCCGTTCCTTCCGGGGTCAGCAGAGCTGGGGACTTGGTGTCTCGCTGAGTGGGGTTTTCTAAGACTGTTTTTTCAGCAGAGCGAATGAGCCCCAGGTACTTTCTGGACTCTGTTAAGATCCAGTAGTGGAGAGTCTCTGCGCTCTTTGCTGAGTAATCCCTGCTGCCTTGGCAGTCTTCCCTCATGCTCATTCCCAGGGCAGGTAACGAGCATGGCCCTTCTGGGGTGGGGAGCTCACACAAACGAACACGTTCCTGCTGGCTCAGCAGCAGCGCGGGAGCCCGAGAAGGAGCGAGGTGTCATTGTGCACTGCCTCAAGGAGAGGTTGGCAGCCGCAGGGATATCGGAAACATCATGTCGGGGCTGTGTTGAAGGGGGTGGAAGGGCAGCACCGCCAGCAGTGCTATTTTAGGATGCCTGACTCACAGGGGGAGCCTGTCTAGGCCAGACATCCCAGCTCCGCCTGCCTGTGCTGCTTCTTAACATCACTGCTGAATTTAGCTCTCTCCTCCGCAGGAAGATGCGGGATCCCGGGCAATGAACAACCTCCGGAGGTCCAACAGCACCACCCAGGTTAACCAGCGGGTGAACGGCACGCGCAGGTACCGCTCCAGCCACCAGCCTGTGTCCGTTTGTCCCGTGGATGGGACCGTGTGAAACCCCACCCATCTGTTTGACCTCTCTTGTCCTGTGAGAGAACCGGAGCCTTCTAAAAATGTACATTAAGCGCTCTCATACACATCGGGGGTTACAACCTGGCCTTGGAAAGCCAAGGTCTGTTTTTTTGTTTGGTCCTTGATTAGGATTTGGGGAAATGGAGTGTATTTCTGTGGCTGGGAAGCCTCTGTCACAAAAGACACTCAGTTTAATTCCAAGGGACAGGACCATTCAATTACAACAGCTCCTCATGGACCCTCCAGACCGTAGCTGGACTGTATTCTGTCTCCGGTGACCTCCTAGGGCTGTCTCTGAATCGTGATTTTCCGTTCTCTTATTGCCCTGTGCCCGCCCCTTTAATATATTCTATCTCTGCATGTCATGCTGAAATCTAAAGCTCTGTATAAAAACGAATCATTCATAGATTTCATGACTGTGTAATGATTCTCCATCCCTTTCCTCTTCCGTGTCACGATGGCAGGCGGTGGGTGTGCCTCGGCTCTGTGCTGTGCTTGTTGTCAGAGTGCCCTGCCACGATCAGAGCGTGCTTGTCGCTGAAGCAGCCTGGGCAGGGTGAGAACCCTGCTATCGCTGCCTTGTTGCCGTTTGTCTGCATGCAATATTAACTCCAGAACATGTGTTCTCTCCTCCTCTCTGCCTTCCCTGGTTTCGGGCTAAAGCTCAGAGCAGACGGGAGACTTCCTGGCCCTCTTTGAGAGCAGTTCTGGGGGAAGAAAGAAAGTGGCGAGTCTGAGCAAAACCTCCCCGGAAAAGAAAACCACGTGGAACATCTTGGTGAGGACAGGGACGTCGTGGGGCGGGTAGGCTAAGTCAGCTCTGCTTGCTCGAGGCGTTGGCTGGGTGGAGGAGTGGGAGGGTTTCCCTAGACCCGAGGATGGGGTAATACAGCTCGTCTGTGATGGCCAGGCTGGTCCTTCCTCAGCCTGCAGTCAAAGCTGGCATGGTTTGGATGGCCAACATGCTCGGCCAGTCCTCTGGCCTGCGTTGGCCTTGTCTCTGGCCCAGGGCTTTTGGCCTCCGTGCTCCTGGCTTCTGGTGGAGGCAGGCAGAGGCGCAGGCAAAGCCTCGAGTGCTGTGGCACAGAGGTTTCTTGTGCGTGGGAGAAACTGGCTTGTGAAGGAAGAGGGTGGCGTTTGAGGACGTGGGTTTGGCCCTTGCCTGCGCTCATACCCGCTGACTCCGTGGCAGGACGATCAGCCGCGAGCGTTCCCGGGTCCCTCCGGCTCCCGCGGCGTTGAGCCACCAGCGGGCATGAGGAGGAAAGAAGCCACCGCGCTCCTGGCAGCCAACTTCACTGCCAACAACAGGTAGGAGGGACGGCGCTGAGCCGGAGCCTGTAGGCCTGGTGTTGGGAGGAACTACACCGAGAAAACACCCGGGCAGAGTGGGGGGTGCCGGTGCTCTGCCTCTGCCAGGGCACGGGGGTCAAGTGCGGGGCAGACCGATGACGGTGTGCCAGGCTGGCTGGCCAGGACACGTTTGGAAGCCGCGCAGGAGCTTGACTGATGTGTGGGAGAGGCTGAACGAGTAAAACTTGAACCCTTCAGGGCCAGGAGAGACAAGGCTGCGTGTAGAATAGCCTGAACAGCAGGCTGTTAGGTCTGCTCGGGCTGTGTCTGTCTGTCTGTGCGTCAAGTAACAGCTACCAAGGAGCGAGCTCTGGAGAGCGGGCGAGTCGCTTGTGAGGCCTGGCCTGCTCCTCGCCTTGGGGAGCACTCCAGACGGTCATGGTTGGGTTGAGGGTTGCAAGGCAGGGAGCATCCGTGGTGCATGCTGTCCCCTTCGCATCCAGCAAGTCCTGACGCCTCGTCTTCTCTCCACAAAAGGAGCAACAAGGGCGCGATGGGCAACTGTGTCACCACCATGGTGCACAACAACTACTCCACCACTGAGAAGGGCCCTGCGCCCAAAAGCTCCAACCAGGCACCTAGCTCCCTCAAGTAAGTGCGGTGAGGTCCTGGCTTGGAGGCTGTGCTGACCCCGTGTTCGTGTGCTGATGTGGCACAGGACGGGGCAGGATGGTGCCAAGTAGCTTCATTATCTTCCTTAGCAACGTTGTCAAAGCGACCTCAAATGAGGACGGCGAAAGCAGCAGCTTCGTGAAGTCTCAGAAGAATTTCTCCAGCAACAACGTCATGACCCGCAACAACAACAGCAGCCTGCCCCGGAGGAAGGAGGTGACCGAGGAGGAGGCAGAGAGGTGAGGCAGAGCTGGTGCGTGATGGCTGGTGGGAAGAGGCAGGAGGATGGTGCCAGGCGGAGGGGTGAGCTCCAGGGGAGCTGGTGCTGGTTTGTTCTTCTCCTGTGGGACTCCAGATTCGGGAAGGGCCCCTCTTAGTGCACCCGCAGTGCCCGATTTACCCTCCCCGTGACTTGGCTCTGCGCTTTGAGTTGTCCTCATCAAAGGCACAAGTTCCTCCCACCCCAAATGTCAGCCCAGGAAGAGGCTTCGTTGAGTCGGGGTGTGAGGGGACGGAACAAGTCCCGGTGCCGTGGGCGAGCAGCCTGCGCTCTGCTGCGGCAGGCCGGGGGGGTG